TTAAAATTTTAATATGAAAAAATATTTATTTGAAGATGAAGAATTATTTATTAAAGTAAAGAAAACCTGTGTTTTTGAAACAAGCAGTCAAAAATTAAAAAATGTTTTTGTAAAAAAAGTAATTTAGTAATAAAGATACTTATTAAGATAATAAAGATAAAAAACAATCTTTTTTTATCTGCAAATAAAAACATACTCTTTGCTTTTATTTTATATACATTTTACTAATTTAAATATATTTGCTGCTTGATTGAAATAACTAATTCCTTTGCAAGAATTTAAATAAATAATTCATTAAAAAAAAAAAATTTTTTTCAAAATTTTTTTTTAGTACGAGAGTATTGGATACACATTGGCAAGGCTGAAACGTCCGGCGACATACCTGGGGAAGAGTTCCCCGGTGTCTTGCCGGTGGTCCACCTTGGCACCATACTTGAGCAACAGCTTAACCAGGTCCAGGTAGCCGTGTTCGGCGGCGAGATGCAGGGCCGAGTAACCGCACTCGTCGGTGGCGTCGATGTCAGCGCCGCGCACCAGGAGCAGCTGGGCGGCCTCGGTGTAGCGCTGCCAGACGGCATAGTGTAGGGGCCTGAGACCCTGGGTGACCGGCTCGTTCGGCTTGGCACCGCAGGCGAGGAGGATGCGAATCTCGTCGAGCGGCTGCAGCCGTATTATCGAGTCGGCCAGCTCCCGTTGTAACGGGTTGGCGATGCACTCGGTCGGCATCTACATGGCGTAACGCACAGAGATATATGTATATATAAAAGAGATAGAGAAGCTAAAGAGAGAAAAAGGAAGATTACATAATGTGATCGTGTATCGTCTATCGCGTATAGGCAGAAATCGCTGAGGATTTATAGCCGGACGATATGTGACGATGATTTTCGATACGTAACTTGTCAACGACCAACAAGACCGTTCGCCGATTTTATTATTTCATTTCCGTTTATAGCAATGACAACTGGGATGGGTTTTCTACAAAAGAGGGGAACTGAAGAGCTTCCCAGGAAAGCGTGCCAATTTGCAAAGAAATTTAACGAATAAAAACGTTGTCTTTTTTGACAAATGAATAATATTAAAATTATACAGTTTGAATTAATTTACTCAATAATTTTATAGTTACTTATTCTTGTAGCTAAAATATGACGTTTCCGAAAAAAAAAAATAAATAAATAAATAGATTTGGCGTTCGTAGATAATTTCTTTTGATAAATTATCTTTTAATTTTTAATTGTTTTTAATTATTTTATTTTTAAATATTTTATTTTTTAATTTTTTTTAATTATTTTGAATCTAGATTAATTAATATCGACGTCGATAATTCAATTTCGAATGTTCCCCGTCTGTATAAAATTGTTATAGATATAAAACATCATACTCTCTCTTGTCATGAGATTTGCTCTCATTAGTATCAAAAAATACATTGATAGGTAGAATATAATACGAAGAATATGATATACATATACACCACAAGATTAAGTAAAAATTCTGAATTAAATCTTCTTGTTAGATTCATACATATTCTATGTGATCTTGGGATACTCGTTTGAGAAAAATCTTTCGCAAAGACGAAAGGACCATGCGACATGCATTACTATAATGTGTTTTTATTACACATTAATACGCACTTTAATATCGAGTCTGATTTGCCTTATACGACGAGCACGGAAATCCGATAAATCTATAATGTAAGAAGATAGGGAGATTAATAAAAACTGATAGATTATAGTATAACTCTCTCTCTCTCTCTTACAGTATACGTGTTGTATTTTTTTCTGAAACGTCGAAAGAATTTCACGGTCTTTTCTATTATAATCCTGTATGGCTTTTAAATCATTATAATTACACAAGAATTTAATTTAAAAGAATTTATACATAAAAATTAAAAAATTTAAAAGAAATTAAACATTTTAAAAAATTTTAAAGAATTTATATATAAGTAAAGAATAAAAATATAAATGTAGATCAAAACAAAAGTGTGTGTGTAAAAATATAAAAATTAATATAAAAATATCAAATCAAAATACAAAGATTAAGATAATAAAATAAGAAGATTATGAGAATAAAAATATTAAGCATAATGCAGAGGTGTAATAGAAAAGACCTCGATTCCCGATTCCGGACATGATTGATAATTAATGTATTATCGTTAAATCTCTGCAGCCGCGCGCAAAGATTTTCCTCCAACGATGATCCCGCAACGTGTCGTTTACGATTTGGCTGACGATAGGTGAGTTAATGCAATCACGCTGCTCTCGCATCGGGAACTTCACTGACGCGCGTCACGAGCACTAGAAACTTTGCCAAGAAGACGGCGCAATTTTGGCGATGATGCCGGAAGTCGTCGATCGCGTCGAAGAATCACGCAGTCTGCGTCTTCGCGAAAGCAACGAGAGATCTTTTTTTTTTTTTTTGCTTGGACGAACAGCACGCAATAAGCCCTCTCTAGACCTTGTCTTTCACATCGCTTCTTTATTACGTAAATTAAAGAAAAAAAAAAAAAGAAATGTAACGATGCTTTGAATCATTTTTTCGAACTCGAGAAAATCCATTTAAATTTTAAATGCAGTCTTAAAATCTGTCGAGTTCTTAAAAAAGTGCGTGATTTAATTTTTGGTAACTTTATACAAATCAGATACTTATCAAATTTTCCAATTTCTTTCAATGAAATTAAAGCTTGAAGGTAAACTCGATCGAGAAAATTCTCTCCCTCTCTCTCTCTCTGTGGTTTTCACTATGATTTCTGAATTATTATATAATGGCAAAAGTAATTAAAAATCTCTCATGTATCACTTGGCATACATACTCTTAGATTGCTCGCAAGATCAAGATCGATCGGATCAACGTGACCGATGTAACGGCGCAAAAGAGTCGATATTCATTGCCAATTTTCGCCGCATGTATCCAACTATTGTAAATATTTAGTCTCTAGATTGATGCAAGATCTTGATAACATCGCGCAATTCGATTCGATATTATAATTTTGTGAATGTCAAAATTAAAATAGAGTACGTTCGTAGATACTATGATTGTGACACATATGTTGCGAGATGTGTGATCGAGACTTGTATTATAAAATTGCAAACAAATGTATATGAATTTACACATTAATATAAAATACTTATATCATTTTTAATAATATTCGGTTATTTTAAATAATTATTAATAAAATATTATTGATAATATATATTTCTTTAAAAAATTCAGACAGCAATTATAGTACGATAGAGTCGATAAATATAATCGAAAATGATTTCTCAATACTTTATCTTTCGATTTTGCATCAGTCAAGATTGATTCCAAGAGAATATCCTCTGGACGAGTATCTGTCACTATAATAATGTTTTAATTCTCGGATTGTACGGTCGACAAAAGACCGATGACGACGACGATCGTGTGCGAACTTGACATTTCCCCGCTTATTGTTTACTCACGTTGAAGATGGTGCGGTGCTCCAGCATGTAGTAGAACGATGTCACGAAAACTGCCTTCCTCGTCGAGCAATCCGATCCTATTTAAAGCTTCCGACGAAACGGCACGATTCGCCGCCCGAAAATAACACAAAGGGACCGCGCGGGAGTTTGCGCACGTGTGTGCGTGCTCTCCGTCTGCTACGCAATTTTTGTCTTTTGGCGCGGGAAAGCCTTTTTTTCTCACCTGTCGATTTTCCGACAAACATCATCGTGTTCATCCCATACGCAAGGACCCGGCTCTTCTCACGTGCGTTTGTTTTGAAAATGGTTTGCGATTTGTCTCGACACTCGTGACAATCGAGAGTTGCGATAAAAACGCAATTTGGCGAAATTGCAAAATGATTTGAAAATATGCGTAAGAGATGAGATGACTTGTGATTTTCTAAGAATGGCTTACTACTTACGTGCAGAAAAATATCGTCTACATTTTATTCCGCGAGCAAATTATATTTTACATATTTGTTATTACACTATTTCATCTATCAATAAAATTAAAATTGATGTTTTCAAGACACTGAGCATTATTGGTGCCATTTGAAGAATTTGCTTACAGAAACAATGGCAAATAACATTTTATTTTTTACGTTTTAAAATTTCTATAATTTTATTTTGGTAAAAATAATGATTTCTGAGACGCAGATAACAAAATTTTTTGATACTTTGAATCATATCTATAATAATACTTCTAATGATCTCAAATGACGAAGTTCCGAAATGATGAGACTTTATTATTGAAATTATTTGAATCGCATTTGCGTCGAAGGTTTATGTGGCTCGATATAATAATACTTATTTACAACGCTATACATATACATATCTGTGACACGTGGCGATGTGTACACTTGACATGCCAACACACATACAAATTTTCTCACCCTTTCTGTCCACCGGGTATATAATAGCGGAGCAACAACTCTCTCTCTCTCTTTCTCTCTTTTACTCCCGTTGTCTACAACTACGCCTTTTGGTAAGTTCACTGATCTTATGATCCGAAATTAAACCGAATTTCTCTGAATTTCCTCGACACTTTGTTACACCGCGCAAATTCTGTCGAGAGCATTTGCGAAGTGATGACATTAAAGTCAACGAGATAAGGGGACAAGAAATCATTTTTCCTGAGAAAAATATCTCATTTGCAATTACTTTAGAAAGTAACTTGTTTCAGAATCATCTGGAAAATATGAAGAAAATTCGGCAGCACTCGTGCAATCTTATTTTTTTATAAACAGACAGAATATAAATAAAAAAACTGCTTATAATAATAAATTATTATAA